ATTTCCTGGAGACAATCCAACGTCTTTTTCTTTTTTCGTGATGTAATAAAGCATGGCTGCTGACAGGAGCTCAGTATATGATGAAGTTTTTGCTTACGAGTCTGTTTTTAAGAGTATCTTATTTGTTTCAATGTCTGTCGTAGTTTTTTCATGGGCTAAATCATTTTTGTACTTGTGATGTGAAAAAGCATGGATGCTGGGACCAGTTTGATTTGTGATACAACTATTCTTTCTGACTGTTCCTATCGGATTTATTCCATATGGGCTTTGTTTTGTGATGAGATTAGTTCAATTTCTTTTTCCATTTCTTGCTGTGTAAGGAAGCTTCGGGGCGTCGAAACTAGCAGGAAATATGATACAACATTCGCTTACGAGTCTAAGCAAATAAAAGTTTTCTCTGATATCATATGTCCGTTGTTTCTTGGAGACAATCCAACGTCTTTTTCTTTTTTCGTGATGTAATAAAGCATGGCTGCTGACAGGAGCTCAGTATATGATGAAGTTTTTGCTTACGAGTCTGTTTTTAAGAGTATCTTTTTTGTTTCAACGTATGTTGTAGTTTATTTCAGGCTAAATCGTGTTTGTACTTGTGATGTGAAAAAGCATGGCTGCTGGGACCAGTTTGATTTGTGATACAACTATTCTTTCTGACTGTTCCTATCGGATTAATTCTAATTGGGCTTTGTTTTTTGGTGAGATTAGTTCAATTTCTTTTTCCGTTTCTTGCTGTGTAAGGAAGCTTGGGTGCGTCGAAACTAGCAGGAAGTTTGATACAACTTTCGCTTACGAATCTAAGCAAATCAAAGTTTTCTATGATATCATATGTCCGTTGTTTCTTGGAGACAATCCAAGGTCTTTTTTTTTCGTGGTGTACTAAAGCATGGCTGCTGACAGGTGCTCAGTATATGATGAAGTTTTCGCTTACGAGTCTGTTTTTAAGAGTATCTTTCTGTTTCAACGTATGTTGTAGTTTATTTCAGGCTAAATCGTTTTTGTACTTGTGATGTGAAAAAGCATGGCTGCTGGGACCAGTTTGATTTGTGATACAACTATTCTTTCTGACTGTTCCTATCGGAATAATTCCATATGGGCTTTGTTTTTTGGTGAGATTAGTTCACCTTGTTTTTCCGTTTCTTGCTGTGTAAGGAAGCTTGGGTGCGTCGAAACTAGCAGGAAATTTGATACAACTTTCGCTTACGAGTCGTAGCAAATCAAAGTTTTCTATGATATCGTATACCCGTTATTTCTTGGAGACAATCCAACGGCTTTTTCTTTTTTCGTGATGTAATAAAGCATGGCTGCTGACAGGAGCTCAGTATATGATGAAGTTTTTGCTTACGAGTCTGTTTTTAAGAGTATCTTTTTTGTTTCAATGTCTGTCAGAGTTTTTTCATGGGCTAAATCGTTTTTGTACTTGTGATGTGAAAAAGCATGGCTGCTGGGACCAGTTTGATTTGTGATACAACTATTCTTTCTGACTGTTCCTATCGGATTTATTCCATATGGGCTTTGTTTTTTGATGAGATTGAGATTAGTTCAATTTCTTTTTCCGTTTCATGCTGTGTAAGGAAGCTTCGGGGCGTCGAAACTAGCAGGAAATATGATAACTTTCGCTTAAGAATCTAAGCAAATCAATGTTTTCTATGATATAATATGTCCGTTGTTTCTTGGAGACAATCCAAGGTCTTTTTTTTTCGTGGTGTACTAAAGAATGGCTGCTGACAGGTGCTCAGTATATGATGAAGTTTTCGCTTACGAGTCTGTTTTTAAGAGTATCTTTCTGTTTCAACGTATGTTGTAGTTTATTTCAGGCTAAATCGTTTTTGTACTTGTGATGTGAAAAAGCATGGCTGCTGGGACCAGTTTGATTTGTGATACAACTATTCTTTCTGACTGTTCCTATCGGAATAATTCCTTATGGGCTTTGTTTTTTGGTGAGATTAGTTCAATTTCTATTTCCGTTTCTTGCTGTGTAAGGAAGCTTGGGTGCTTCGAAACTAGCAGGAAATTTGATACAACTTTCGCTTACGAGTCGTAGCAAGTCAAAATTTTCTATGATATCGTATGTTCGTTGTTTCTTGGAAACAATCCAACGTCTTTTTCTTTTTTCGTGATGTACTAAAGCATGGCTGCTGACAGGAGCACAGTATATGATGAAGTTTTTGCTTACGAGTCTGTTTTTAAGAGTATCTCTTTGTTTCAATGTCTGTCGTAGTTTTTTCATGGGCTAAATCGTTTTTTTACTTGTGATGTGAAAAAGCATGGCTGCTGGGACCAGTTTGATTTGTGATACAACTATTCTTTCTGACTGTTCCTATCGGATTTATTCCAAATGGGCTTTGTTTTTTGATGAGATTGAGATTAGTTCAATTTCTTTTTCCGTTTCTTGCTGTGTAAGGAAGCTTCGGGGCGTCGAAACTAGCAGGAAATATGATAACTTTCGCTTAAGAATCTAAGCAAATCAAAGTTTTCTATGATATAATATGTCCGTTGTTTCTTGGAGACAATCCAAGGTCTTTTTTTTTCGTGGTGTACTAAAGCATGGCTGCTGACAGGAGCTCAGTATATGATGAAATTTTCGCTTACGAGTCTGTTTTTAAGAGTATTTTTTTTGTTTCAATGTCTGTCGTAGTTTTTTCATGGGCTAAATCGTTTTTTTACTTGTGATGTGAAAAAGCATGGCTGCTGGGACCAGTTTGATTTGTGATACAACTATTCTTTCTGACTGTTCCTATCGGATTTATTCCATATGGGTTTTGTTTTTTGATGAGATTAGTTCAATTTCTTTTTCCGTTTCTTGCTGTGTAAGGAAGCTTCGGGGCGTCGAAACTAGCAGGAAATATGATACAACTTTCGCTTACGAGTCTAAGCAAATCAAACCTTTCTATAATATCATATGTCCGTTGTTTCTTGGAGACAATCCAAGGTCTTTTTTTTTCGTGGTGTACTAAAGCATGGCTGCTGACAGGAGCTCAGTATATGATGAAATTTTCGCTTACGAGTCTGTTTTTAAGAGTATCTTTCTGTTTCAACGTATGTTGTAGTTTAATTCAGGCTAAATCGTTTTTGTACTTGTGATGTGAAAAAGCATGGCTGCTGGGACCAGTTTGATTTAAGATACAACCATTCTTTCTGACTGTTCCTATCGGATTAATTCCATATGGGCTTTGTTTTTTGGTGAGATTAGTTCAATTTTCTTTTCCGTTTCTTGCTGTGTAAGGAAGCTTGGGTGCGTCGAAACTAGCTGAAAATGTGATACAACTTTCGCTTACGAGTGTAAGCAAATCCAAGTTTTCTATGATATCATATGTCCGTTGTTTCTTGGAGACAATCCAAGGTGTTTTTCTTTTTTGTGATGTACTAAAGGATGGCTGCTGACAGGATCTGAGTTTATGTTGAAGTTTTTGCTAACGAGTCTGTTTTTAAGAGTATCTTTTTTGTTTCAACGTCTGTCTTAGTTTTTTTCATGGGCTAAATCGTTTTTGTACTTGTGATGTGAAAAAGCATGGCTGCTGGGACCAGTTTGATTTGTGATACAACTATTCTTTCTGACTGTTCCTATCGGATTAATTCCATATGGGCTTTGTTTTTTGGTGAGATTAGTTCAATTTATTTTTCCGTTTCTTGCTGTGTAAGGAAGCTTGGGTGCGTCGAAACTAGCTGAAAATATGATCCAACTTTCGCTTACGAGTCTAAGCAAATCAAAGTTTTCTATGTTATCATATGTCCGTTGTTTCTTGGAGACAATCCAAGGTCTTTTTCTTTTTTCGTGATGTACTAAAGAATGGCTGCTGACAGGAGCTCAGTATATGATGAAGTTTTTACTTACGAATCTGTTTTCAAGTGTATCTTTTTTGTTTCAACATCTGTCGTAGTTTTTTTCATGGGCTAAATCGTTTTTGTACTTGTGATGTGAAAAAGCATGGCTGCTGGGACCAGTTTGATTTGTGATACAACATTTCTCCTGACTGTTGCTATGGGATTTATTTCATATGCGCTTTGTTTTTTGATGAGATTAGTTCAATTTCTTTTTCCGTTTCTTGCTGTGTAAGGAAGCTTCGGGGCGTCGAAACTAGCAGGAAATATGATACAACTTTCGCTTACGATTCTATGCAAATCAAAGTTTTCGTTTTCTATGTTATCATATGTCCGTTGTTTCTTGGAGACAATCCAAAGTCTTTTTCTTTTTTCGTGATGTACTAAAACTTGGCTGCTGACCGGAGTTCAGTATATAATGAAGTTTTTGCTTACGAGTCTGTTTTTAAGAGTATCTTTTTTGTTTCAACGTATGTTGTAGTTTATTTCAGGCTAAATCGTTTTTGTACTTGTGATGTGAAAAAGTATGGCTGCTGGGACCAGTTTGATTTGTGATACAACTATTCTTTCTGACTGTTCCTATCGGATTAATTCCATATGGGCTTTGTTTTTTGGTGAGATTAGTTCAATTTCTTTTTCCGTTTCTTACTGTGTAAGGAAGCTTCGGGGCGTCGAAACTAGCATGAAATATGATACAACTTTCGCTTACGAGTCTAAGCAAATCAAAGTTTTCTATGTTATCATATGTCCGTTGTTTCTTGTTTTTTGTAGAAGAGATGTTGTGCTTGGGAAATTGATTATCTAAATTTTTTTTACTCTTTTTTATTTCATTAGAGAAACAACTAAGGTTTTGGGCAAAGTCCAATTCATGAAATCACATTTTTTAAGCCGCAGCAGTGTAGCAAATTCATTCAATATCAAGCACCTACCTCCTCCTTTAGTTGTGCCCCTATCTGTTTTTTATCGAAACAAATAAAAATTTTGTTTCACGAAGTATTTTTCAACGCATTTTTTTCGACACGTCTTTTTAAGTTAGTGTTTTATCGAGAGTGATGCGAAGCTCCGCTTCGCCTTGGTGTACAATTTTTGTTTTTGAGTTCAAGCGCTCCAAAGTAAATCATGTAAATCTCTAGTTTCGAGCTTTTGATGGAACTTTCAATTTATGTTATCGTAAATTGTTTTAGTTACAAGAAGGGACGCTGATCACAATTGCGATCACAAATGATCATCAGGCGATAGAGTCTCACACCTACTTGTGGTGATTACGGAAACCTGCATAGTTTGAAACCAATCTGGTTATGACTACAACGATAATCTCGATTTTAACCCTGCGTTTTCGCAAAAACTCAGCGATGATTTGACTATGAAAGTGAGCGTTTTAACGTCTGCTCTAAAAACTGATGAAACAACTGTTCTTAGTGCAAATAGTTGCTGTATAATTAAAATTTTCAAATACGTTTTGCGCTGAGCACTTAAAGTTGTGCGCTTTCAGGATAAAGTTTCTTCACGCTCCTTTTTATGCCTTGTTAGTTAAGTTTGATTTGGCGTTTGATTTGGCAAAATCAAATCCATTAACCAAATTGAGTTAAAATTGAATTCAAACTCGATTATAAAAGTGAAAATGACGCAATAAACTGGCCGCCTGACTTCGAGTTTTAAAAGAGGTCTATGTTACCCTTGCGGTGCACCAAAATTATGTGTGATTTTACGTGTAATCGAGTTTTAATAAGTTTATGTACCAAGACTACACTAGCTCAAAATTGGTAAATCAGAGAATGCGCCATATTTCAGAACGAATGTCAATTGTTCTGTATGATTGATTGTTTTGTTACAAAAATCGATTTGCTAGGGAATGTTTAAAAGCCTTGGGTAAATTAAAACGCAATAATGATTGTTCTTTACCTAAGAAAGCTTGTTATACGGTCAGTCCTTTATTTGCCAATAGAAGCCGAAAAGATCATGCAAAGGTTGCGTTAGTTACAGCAGTTGAGCTGCATATATATTTATTGAAGCTCATTTTTGGTCTTCTCATCTAAGAAAGTAGTATGCACGAAAAATTGGAAGGCAGCGCGATTGATTGTTGGCCTGGAGATGCGGGTTCGAACTTAGCATGTCAATTTTTTTCTAAAATTTGATTTTAGTACGTTTCAGTTCTAATTTTGTTGTTTTTTGTCAGCCGTGTCAATTTACAAAAATTTTATGAAGTAAAAGATGTTTGATTCTAAAAATCTCGGAGTTTGAAAACAAAAAAGTGGATTTTTGCTGAATACAATTTTTTACTCTGGTGAAACTTAAGATACAAGACGATTGCTTTTTTTATTAAGTGGCATGAACGTAGTGAGCAGGGCATGGGAAATGTCAATTGGTGACCAATTAATAACTATTGCCAAACATGGTCCAATAGTTGGAGTTTCTAAATCTCTTAGTAATTTTTGTAAAATGATAGTGATATTGATTCTGAGGACGACTTATCGACAATTGGGACGATTGATTCTGAAGACGACCAAGCCATTAAATTAATTGATATTCGACAAACATAGAGAAGCTAATTCAAAATTCAGCTAATTGACTTTTTTTCTCAATTTAGATTTTTCTGTTCCAACTCTGTTGGCTCTGTTGTTCAATAAAACTCGTTTTATAGAGAAAACAACTTTATTTGTTTTTTTTTAATTTTCTGAATATACGATTCTCAACATTTACTACGTCCCTGACAATATTTGGTGAACGGGTTTTTGAGCCCTTTAGCATGAATTGTTTCAAGTAGATTTATGTTGTTACAAAAGCTCAACGTAATAACTGGAATAGTTTGTCTTAGTTTGGGGTAGTGTGTCAAAATGGTGGTATTCAAACAAGATTGCTCAAATTAATGTTGCTGAAGAAGAGCGTCAATTTTCCAGTTTGCTTGTTAACTTTTGTTTTTACCTTTTTTGGTTGCTTTGTTGTAGACTTTGGGACATTTTGCCGGTCCTTGGGGCTTAAGTGAGGAAAAAATGTCTGCCAGTTTGTTTTTTTGAAAATTTTACTTGAAAACAACTTATGAAAACGACAAAAAAAATTTTGCTTCGCCTAAGTGTAAACTGATGAAGTCAAACTTAATTAGTTTATAATTGATCAACCTATATTGACCACAGGCTTAATTAAGTTTGGGTTTTGGTATTTTTGGCCATTAGTACTTTTGGGTTTGAAAAAACCTGTGGTGTTTGGGTGAGTTATTCTCAAGATAATTATCGTTACAAAGAATAGTCAAAAAATTTTAATTAGGGTGTCATATTAAAGCTTTTTATTTCATGATTCGTGCTGAAGAAACATCATTGAAAAAAATTCGCTATGTTGAAAAATTATCTATTTTTTCAGTTCAATTCCGTTTTGCAACCTATTCTTAGAGTAGGTTTAAAGCGTCTCTAACAACCTGGCTCTATTGTTTTTTTTTGTTGGATAATTTTGACGTTGCACTTAAATTTTTCTTGGGGCCTGCAGTATCTAAATTAAGAGACCTGCAAATTAACTGACCTGGGGCTTTCAGTTTATTTTGAAATTTAAAAATTTTAAATATATTTTAATTTATTTTTTCAATTCTGAGTGATCCGAACATCTGGGCTATTTGTACAGCAACCAACAACTCAATTGATTGCGTTTTTGGTTCTTTGATTATAAGGTACCTGCATTTGAATAATTGGTTTCGGTTATTTCTTACTAAGATTTTCTGCACTTTTAAGAGTAGTGAACGTAGTTCAATTTTTTTTTCAGGAAAGTCCTAAAATATTGATGCACTTAGTTATATATGCACTTTTTGAGTTAATTGAAACTCATCTGCTGAAAGTGACGTAAATAGCAGTCTTCAAATACGAACGTGGAAATGGCGCAAAAAGACGTGAACGATTTCCAGTTTCGAAGGTGGAATTTATTTTTTAGATTTCCAGCGGAATAAAAACATTACCTGTTGATCCAGTTTTCTCAAGTTGGGTTAAAGTTATCAAAAAAGCGCCAATCATAAATCGTTACAAAAATTCAAAGAGCTTGAAGGGCACCATTTTTTTTCTTTGAAATTCGAAAGTTGCAATTTTTTCAAAAAAAGTTTTTTTTTGTTTACTTGGGCTCATTACTTTTTTCCAATATTCGATTAGCTTGTTTTATATTCAATTCACAGTTCATGGAAAAACAATATAGCATGCTTCTAGGAACTATTAATCGAATTTGGCTATAGAACGTAACTGAACAAATCTTATGAATCTTCGAAGAAGTTGGTACGCTTTTTGCCCCAATTAAAAGCGGCTGGGCGTTTATCATAGGGTGAAACTTCCGTGTAAGTGTTGTCATATACACTTCGAGGTGCTGGTTTCCATGTACTCGACAAATCCTGGAAATAGTTTATTCGCTTTCTACCGAGCGCGTTCTGTAGCTCAAATAGCTCTGAAGATTTATCGAGTTTTTGTGCCTGCTTATGCAGATCCGAATCGTGCGTTTGTAAAATTGTGTCGCGTGAAAAAATCAACGCCATTTGCAGAAGCAGCAGTGCTAAGTAAAGCGTCGTCATTGTGTAGGATATGGTTGCAGTTTTGAAATGCCGAATTGGCTAGACGGCAACGAATAGCGCACAATCTAAACAATATGTTAAGAATGAAAACATATTTTTGAAACTACTTCAGGGTCTTATGCACTAAACGGCTGGCAATAATTAGTTTTGCATCTCTTGAACTGAACTTAATGTGGTTGAATCTGGCTGGCTGATTAGCCAATCAAGTTCCGTCGAAATTTTCCGCCAAATTTCAATCTGATAAAATTATTAGCCGAATTAATAAACAGTTTAGAGTTTCTGTTTTGTCAAGCCATTTGACTGAACTTTTCTTGTCTGAGCAAGGTTACATTAGTGACTCGAAATTAATTTAGTTGCTTATTTTAGAAAGTTACACCTTTTTGGTAATTTCGGCTGATATTGTCATCTGCTCGAAATGTTGATTGAAATGCCTGACCATGTTTCTTAGAATTGATTGGCTAAGATTAGACAATCAGACTCGATCGCATAATATTCAGTTAAGATATAGAAAAAGTGAATATGGGCTGTTCAATGCATAGGGCCGTCAGTTGCTTAGATCTTGTTAGATACCACATCCCATCATCATTCTGTTGCAGAATAAGAGAAATTCATCACAGGGTAAAAAGAAATCTGTACATACTTCACTACTATTTAGTTGTTAAAAGGAAAGGAATGCAAATCTTTGCAAGGGTTTCATAGGGGGTATATTGAACGAAATCCGAACTATTGCTTTTTGAGAGAATTTGAGAGAAAATTTTCATATGGCAAACGAGAGGAGCCTTTTCAAGACGCATTTAATAGATTTACTAGTCGTGAGTGTATGCTTATTTTGTATTCCAGCTTTCATCTCATTTTGCAAGATTTTCCGAGAAACAAAACTGCTGTAAATTCAGCCATATAACTGAATGTCTGCCAAATGGTTGAACTTGTGCTCTCTCTGCTGCCCTATCAACTATTTTATTCTATAAGCCGAAATCTGCCAATTCTGCGAAAATTTGCTGCCAGCAGAATTATTTGGGGCTATGGTAGAAGTAGCTAATAGCAAAATAGCATCTTTGTTAAAGAAATCTTCCAATTCTGCGAAAATCTGCTGCTAGCAGAATTATTTGGGACTCTGGTAGAAGTAGCAAATAGCAAAGTAGCATCTTTGTTAAAGAAATCTTCCAATTCTGCGAAAATCTGCTGCTAGCAGAACTATTTGGGGCTATGGTAGAAGTAGCAAATAGCAAAATAGCATCTTTGTTAAAGAAAATTAAAAAAATGTTGTACATGGGTTAAATTTTGATACTGACTTTGATACTGTGTTTTAGGAAAGTGTTGTTTTCATTGAAACGAGAAAAAAGGCAGAAGGAGTACTGCAAATAGCAATAACAAATTATAACAAGACTGCTCGTATCAGGGCGAAGCCCTGAATGTTCCGACTGCTTTTGAAGAATTATGGAGCAGCAGTAATAACATAAAAACATTATATGAAATAAAATAAAATGAAAATTTTTTTTCTAAAATTTGAAATTTTTTATGAAAATCATCCCCCCACACGCCATATAAAGTACAAAAAGATAGTTTTCGTTCCTTATAACACATCAATTATGACAAATAAGCTTTGTTCAACCAATTTGGAACGATTTATAAGACGGATTAAATCTCCGCTTACGCGTTAATAGCGCGAATTATATCGCGCGTTAATTGTCCCAAATTGGTCAGAATGGCAATCTTTAAACCCTCATAACTTTACAAAAAATGATCACAGGTGAAATATCTTTTCAAATTTAAGCTCAGGACAACAATACCTTTTGAATGATATAAAAAATTCCGTCAAAAATGGCTAGTTAAAAAGTCGAAGTTTGACTGAAGAAAAAAAACCACCCGAGCACAAATATTCCGTTACTTTCGTATCGAAAGTCGGAACAACAAATTAATTAAG